TCTGGCTGCACAAGACCAAGCCTTAAGGATAAATGCATATAAAGTCAAAATTGAGAAGACAGCAACAGACAGTAAGTGCCACCTATGCAAAGAAGCTGAAGAAACAGTGGACCACTTGGTAAGCTGTTGCAAGAAGATTGCACAAACTGATTACAAGCAGCGGCATGACAAAGTAGCAACAATGGTGCATTGGAAGATCTGCAAAAAATATCATTTGCCTGTAAGCAAAAACTGGTGGGATCATAAAATAGAGAAAGTCCTAGAAAATGATAAAATTAAACTGCTCTGGGACTTCAGAATTCAAACAGACAAGCACCTGCAACATAACACCCCAGACTTAACAATTGTCGATAAGAAAGACAAAAAAGTCTGGATAGTGGACGTGGCAGTGCCTGGAGATAGCAGAATAGAAGAAAAAGAACTGGAGAAGATAGCAAAATACAAAGACCTACAAATAGAAATAGAAAGACTGTGGCAAAAGCAAGCAAGGGTAGGACCAATAGTCATAGGCTCCTTGGGTGCTATCCCAAAACAACTGGAGCACCACTTGAACACCATTGGCATTGACAAATTTGCTATTAGTCAATTGCAAAAGGCGGCCTTACTAGGAACTGCTTCCATCCTGCGACGATATCTGTAATACCATCAAACATCCACATCTGCCTATCCCAGGTCCTGGGTAAGGACTCGATAGGTAGACAAAATGCCAAATCCAGTCTGATCATCTGGCTGACTGTGCGATGATTAATAATAATAATAATAATAATAATAATAAAAATAATAATAATAATAATATATTGTCAATAAGAAAGACAAAAAAGTTTGGATAATGGAAGTGGCAGTGTCTGGAGACAGCAGAATAAAAGAGAAAGAACTGGAGAAAATAACAAAATACGAAGACCTACAAATAGAAATAGAAAGACTGTGGCAAAGGCAAGCAAGGGTATTACTAATAGTAATAGGCAATCCCAAAACAACTGGAGCACCACTTGTACATCATGGGCATTGACAAATTCACCATCAGTCAATTGCAAAAGTCAGCCTTACTAGGAACAGCTTTCATTCTGGGATGATATCTATAACACCATCAAACATCCACATCTGCCTATCCCAGGTCCTTGGTAAGGACTTGATAGATAGGCAAAAATGCCAAACCCAGTTTGACATCTGGCTGACTGTCCGATGATTAATAATAATAATAATAATAATAATAATAATAATAATAATAATAATAATAATAATAATAATAATAATAAGAATAAGAAGAAGAAGAAGAAGAAGAAGAAGAAGAAGAAGAAGAAGAAGAAGAAGAAGAAGAAGAAGAAGAAGAAGAAGAAGAAGAAGAAGAAGAAGAAGAATAATAAGAAGAAGAAGAAGAAAAAATGGCTTTGGAAGAATATCTGAAGAACAATGATGAAGATGCACTGAAATTAGTATATCAGGAATGCTTACTAACTACTGGAGAGACCAAACTGGCCTACAAGAAAGACCAAATGAAGAACAGAATAGAGGCATGGAAGACAAAGCACTACATCGCCAATACATGAAAAAAAATAGCTGGGAAAGCAGATAATAACAAAACCTGGCAATGGCTAAGAGCAGGAAAATTGAAGAAAGAGACCGAGGGACTAATTCTGGCTGCACAAGACCAAGCCTTAAGGACAAATGCATACAAAGTCAAAATTGAGAAGACAGCAACAGACAGTAAGTGCCGCCTATGCGAAGAAGCTGAAGAAACAGTGGACCACTTGGTAAGCTGTTGCAAGAAGATTGCACAAACTGATTACAAGCAGCGGCATGACAAAGTAGCAACAATGGTGCATTGGAAGATCTGCAAAAAATATCATTTGCCTGTAAGCAAAAACTGGTGGGATCATAAAATAGAGAAAGTCATAGAAAATGATAAAATTAAACTGCTCTGGGACTTCAGAATTCAAACAGACAAGCACCTGCAACATAACACCCCAGACTTAACAATTGTCGATAAGAAAGACAAAAAAGTCTGGATAGTGGACGTGGCAGTGCCTGGAGACAGCAGAATAGAAGAGAAAGAACTGGAGAAGATAACAAAATACAAAGACCTACAAATAGAAATAGAAAGACTGTGGCAAAAGCAAGCAAGGGTAGTACCAATAGTAATAGGCTCTTTGGGTGCAATCCCAAAACAACTGGAGCACCACTTGAACACCATTGGCATTGACAAATTCGCTATTAGTCAATTGCAAAAGGCGGCCTTATTAGGAACTGCTTCCATCCTGCGACGATATCTGTAATACCATCAAACATCCACATCTGCCTATCCCAGGTCCTGGGTAAGGACTCGATAGGTAGACAAAATGCCAAATCCAGTCTGAACATCTGGCTGACTGTGCGATGATCGATAATAATAATAATAAAGTTGGAAGGGACCTTGGAGGTCATCTAGTCCAACCCCCTGCTCAGGCAGGAAACCCTATACCATTTCAGACAAATGGCTGTCCAGTCTCTTCTTAAAAACTTCCAGTGTTGGAGCATTCACCACTTCTGGAGGCAGGTTGTTCCACTGGTTAATTGTTCTAACTGTCAGGAAGTTTCTCCTTAGTTCCAGGTTGCTTCTCTCCTTGATTAGTTTCCACCCATTGCTTCCTGTCCTGACTTCAGCCGCTTTGGAGAATAGCTTGACTCCCTCTTCTTTGTGGCAGCCCCTGAGATATTGGAACAGCCCCTGATCTTTGTCAGCTCTGCATTGTAACATTGATTTCTTGAATCCTGCATCTTTTTGAATAAGAGAAGAGCAGTTTTTCTCACAAGAGATTCAGATGGGTTTTCACCCTTATACTTCTCCAACCCCCCCCCCCAAAAAAAAAAACCAAGAAAAGAAAACAAACAACCCTGGCTTTTAAAAGAATGTCTGAATGTCTCTTAAGTGTTTCTTCTGTTCAGGAATGTGTCTGAATATGGGATGGGTCCAGAGTGAGAAATCTAGAATCTGAATCAAACAAATTCTTGAACCACACTGATACTTGTTCTTGTGTTCAAGACACAGGTCCATAGTTTCCAGATATTTTTGCTAAAGCCCCAGAAGTTGGAAAAAGGTGATACTGGGTTGTTATTCTTATTCTTTTTTATTTAAGCTCCTACATAATCAGAACATTTCAGCTTTGAAGATTGCTTTTGAAGTCCATGGCACCTTCTTGATCTCATGATAACTGTCGTACAGGGTCCACCTTTAAACCCAGAACTTATTTTTTGTTTATGTGGGGAAAAGATCAGCAACTTCAAGTTCTCCAGCACTTGTGGTTATAATTTTTCTCTAACCTCAAGTTACTAGACACCTGAAAGTAGGAGAACATGTCCTACTTTTCTCCTCACTTCCTCCATCTGGTGGGTATAGCCTTAAAGATTTTTGGCCTTTGGAGTAGTTTATTAAACACCTTTTCTTTGGTGTGTAGCCTGTCTGTAACAAATGCAATTAGCATGGTTTAGAATTAGAAAACTCTGTTTGATATTGACAAGACCTTTATCAATTACACATTGAAGACTAACTGCTTGTACTAGCACAATTCCTCTCAAAGTACATTTGCTGCTGTGTGCCTGTATTCATACTTGCAATCCCTTCCTCTCCAAAGAATGTAAGTATGTTAAATAGGGTGTCCTTCTCCCAGATTTGTCCTCTTTTCCAATTCTTTGTGTTATTTATTTATTTATTTATTTATTTATTTATTTATTTGTAAAATTTATATGCCGTCCAATCCCTAGGGACTCAGGGTGGCGTACAAAATTAAAACAACAAGTATAACAATTAAAAATGAATACATTCACACAGCATCTCCCAATCGAATCCCGCCCCCCTGGGGACATCAACCCCAGGCCTGCCGGAACAGGAGAGTTTTAATAGCTTTCTTGAAGGCCGGAAAGGTGGGAGTAGTTCGAATCTCGGGGGGAAGTGGATTCCACCACATCGGAGCCACCACAGAAAAAGCCCTTCCCCGAGGGCCCGCCAGCCGACATTGTCTGGCCGACGGGACCTGAAGGAGGCCCAATCTGTGGGACCTCACCGGTCTCTGGGAACTATGCGGCAGTATGCGGTCCTGTGAGTAACTTGGTCCTAAGCCATAAAGGGCTTTAAAGGTGACAACCAACACCTTGAGTTGCGTCTGGAGACTCACAGGAAGCCAGTGCAGTTTGCGGAGGATAGGTGACACGTGGGTGTACCTTGGTGCACCCACAATCGCTCTCGCGGCTGCATTCTGAACCAACTGCAGCCTCCTTAGCCTGGTCAGGTATTAATAACTATATTCTGCCATTAGCCAGAATGGCTAATAATGGGGAACAGTGGGAGTTCTACTGAAATTCATCTTGAGGACTTTTGGGTGAAAAGAACAGACCAGTGTTGAGTGTAGCAATTGACCAAACTCTTGAGAAACAATGATTATAGGACTGTGGTTATCATCAGCTAGTAAACAAGCAGACATGTGTTGATATGTAGGGAAAAAGTGTGGGTATTTACATGTGTGTGTTTCTGTCTGCATATTAAAACAGAAATACATGAACACACAGACAGAACAAAAAACAGATGTACACACAGACCAAACAAGAAACAATGGATGGAACCTAATCAAGGAGAGAAGCAACCTGGAGAAATTTCCTGACAGTGGGAACAATTAACCAATAGAACAGCTTCCCTCCAGAAGTTGTAGGTGCTCCAACACTGGAAGTTTTTAAGAAGAGAGTGGACAGCCACTTGTTTCAAATGGTATTGGGTCTCTTGCTTGAGCAAGGGGTTGGATTAGAAGACCTCCAAGGTCTCCTTCAGCTCTATTCTGATTGATTGATTGATTGATTGATCTCTTTTTGTTATCAGGATATATAAGGAGGATGAACTTACGTGAAATATTGTTAAAACTTCTACGAATGATCCTGAAATGGTCAACATTCCTTCCAATTCTACTAAAATTGTGGAAACTGCTTCAAATATTTCTAAAATATCAAAAAGTTCCTCTTCTCCATATGAGTAATTGTTCGATAATTTAACACAAAACCTATTCAATGATTTGAATATTTGGACAGTTCATGGATTCTTGAGACAAGGGCTGACTCTCTTTTTGTCGCTTTCTGTTAACAGGTGTGATAGCTGGACAGAATCTTTTAGAACTACTTCTACTCTTGGTGATTTAACACGATTTATCAATGGCTTCATTCTCATTATCTGTATTTTGGGACTGATGGGAAATGGAAGGACAATTTATCTCCTGGCCTATTCTATTAGGAGGAATTCTTTCACTACTTTCATCCTGAATCTATCCATTGCTGATTTTGGGGTCCTCACATCTCTTCTTGTTGTAGCTATATTTGTGGCTGTTTTAATTCTGCATGAAAAAACTAACTTCCTAACTTTCTTCTTATTTCTTGAGCTCTTTTTCTTCACCTATTCTGCCAGCCAGTTTCTGCTGATGGCCATCAGCCTGGAGAGGTGTGTGGCTGTCCTCTTCCCTCTCTGGCATCGCCGCCATCATTATCCATATCTGCCCAGCCTTGTTTGTGGCCTCATCTGGATCCTCTCCTTTCTGCTTTCTGGAGTGCACTTCATTCTCCATCTGACTAGAAGCTCTGGAAGTTCACCTTTGTTGTACCAGCTTATTGTGAATGGTTTACTTTGTACGCCTATCATGGTTGTGTCCACTGTGACTCTCTGGATTCTTATGAGGTCTAAATCACAACGCAATCAAAGGAAGTTGCTCACTGCCTTATTGCTGGCTCTCCTTTGCTTCCTCCTTTTTTCTCTCCCAATGAATGTCTTTTATGTCACCGAATATTTTGGTTCCTGTCATCCCATCCTCCTGACCATTGGGATGGGATGTGCCTCTCTCAACAGCAGCATCAACCCACTCCTTTATTTCCTAGTCGGGAAGAGGAATAAGGGAAAGGATCAGCCCAGAACATCCTTCAAGATTGCTCTGCAAAGAGTTTTCCAGGATGAACAGGGCAGCCCAGCAAAGCAGCAAACCATGAAGGAAGACCAGTTGTGAAGAATCACTATCACTGTTGATTCATTTTAAAAGTCATATCATTTCAACAACAACAGACGAAGTTAATGTAACTTGTGAAAGAAAATAGCAAAATTTGGAATCATTGCTGTATATGTAGCTTCTAGATGTGAAGAAGAGTCAACTGTATCAAATATTCTTAAATTAGATATGTCCACTATATTTCTTAGTAATAGTAATGATTACTACTGTATTGGGTTGGAATCACTGGCAAGAGTAGAGGGAGGAATAAAGAGGGGTTCTAGTTTGGAGTCTTTCCACTGGAGGAAGTGAGAGAAACCAGACCCTTGAAGCCTTTATGTTCCTGTTCCCCAGAGAATGCAGATAAACTAGCAAGGTTCTTAATCTACAAAAAAGAAACTACTTTGGCCTACTTATGTAGTTGTTCTTGTTCCTTATGCCAGACATGTGTGAAACTTTAAATACATCTAATATTTATGGTGAGAAATATTTGTCTTTATTACATTTTTCAACCCAATGTTCCCAAATTTCATACTTTAAAAGATGTGCTCAGTATAATCAAAACTTGGATTTTTTGAAAATGGATCTAAAATTTAAACCTGAAGCTTTTCTTTTAGAGGTGGCAATAAAGAGTTGGAAAGACAACATGGCTCTTTGTTTTTATATATGGTCTCAGTAGCAAGGTTGTTATCAGTGGTGGGATTCAGCCAGTTCACACCAGTTCAGCAGAACCAGTAGCTAATTTTTGTTGCCCAGGCCTAGAATGGACTTCTGGAAGTGGCATCCACACAGAGAACCAGTTGTTCACATATTTGAATACCACCACTCTTTCCTTCCTTCCTTCCTTCCTTCCTTCCTTCCTTCCTTCCTTCCTTCCTTCCTTCCTTCCTTCCTTCCTTCCTTCCTTCCTTCCTTCCTTCCTTCCTTCCTTCCTTCCTGTGGTTGGATTCACCTGGTTCTCACCACTTTGGCAGAACCGGTAGCTAATTTTTTGTTGCCCAGGCCCAGAACAGACTTCCGGAACCAGCATCCATACAGAGAACCGGTTGTTCACATATTTGAATCCCACCACTGGTTGGGATGGAAAGAAGAATATATACCCATAAAGCAAGAATGGCATTTGAATGTAATGGAGCTAGCTGAGATGGAAAAAAAATGACTGTTTGGATGACCTTGTGTGCAGAATTCTGTGCTGATACTGTGCAGAATGGGTCACCTGGGGATCATATCATTCTCAAATCAAGCCATCAGGGAAGAAACTTTTCAGCATATAGCACTACTCGCAAAAAGAAGTATCATGTGATTTTTAAAGATGATCAAAACTAGCAGAGATCTCATTACAGGCATTTCTTATCAGTAAAACAAGCATTTCTTAGATCTGGTATATCTCATGTAGGCAGGAAAAACACCCAGATTAATCAGATCTGATTCAAATTCCCATGTTTCTTATAGCACACACAACTGGTCTAATCACATCAGAGCAACATGATAGCTTTATGAGTCTAACTTCTCACTTTAGCTTTGTATGTGAACATTTTTCTCAACAGTGGGGAAGGCCATTTAAGATATTAAAATGGCTAAAAATGGCTACAAAAGTACAACATGGCTACATTATGATTCATCAATATCATGGCCCAATTGGAAGTTCCAAGTACGCTTTAAGGGCAGCCCCATGTAAAGTGCACTGTAGTAGTAGCCCAGTCTGGAAGTCATGTGGGCATGGTGACCCTGAGTAAGGCCCCTTGGTCCAAGATTACATGTAATGGATACACAGCCTTAAGCTGTGCAAAAACTCTCCTAGCTTACAGTAGGTAGGTTTATAGATGTAGGTCCTCCCAGCTGGCCAGTTGGAGAGACCAGTTAGGGCAGGGGTCTTCAAACTTGGCCCTTTTATGACTTGTGGACTTCAACTCCCAGAATTCCTCAGCCAGCATGCCTGACTGAGGAATTCTGGGAGTTGAAGTCCACCAGTCATAAAAGGGCCAAGTTTGAAGAGCCTGATATAGACTTTAAGAAGAGTGGACTTCAACTCCCAGCATTCCTCAGCCAGCGTGCCTGACTGAGGAATTCTGGGAGTTGAAGTCCACAAGTCATAAAAGGGCCAAGTTTGAAGACCCCTGAGATAGGGTATAGGGCTAAGTTGGGTGCAGCTGGGACTGATATTGAATGAAGGCTCCAATCAGTGGTGAGAGTATCCTTCTTCCACTCCCCACCCAGGTTTCTTGGATGAATGTGGATGGCTGGGGGAAGAGAAGGCCCTCTGACCCAGATGAGAGATATGACAGGGTTGGGGGAGGAGCAACATATTCAGGTGGTGACAGGCATGATTGGATTGATTGGAATCAAAGGGCAGGCAATTGCAAGGGAGGACACCCCTGAAGTTTAAGACCAGTGGTATATTCCATTCCCTTTTGCTTCTGCCTAAACCCTGGACAATCCCTTAAATAGGAGACAGCAGAGTGCTGCAGCTGCCAAAAAGACCAACACAGTGCTAGGCTGCGTTAACAGAGGGATAGAATCAAGATCACGTGGAGTATTAATACCACTTTACAAGGCCTTGGTAAGGCCACACTTGGAATACTGCATCCAGTTTTGGTCACCACGATGTAAAAAAGATATTGAGACTCTAGAAAGAGTACAGAGAAGAGCAACAAAGATGATTAGGGGACTGGAGCCTAAAGCATACAAGGAACGGCTGCTGGAATTGGGAATGTCTAGTTTAATGAAGAGAAGGATGAGGGGGGACATGATAGCAATGTTCTGGTATCTCAGGGGCTGCCACAAAGAAGACGGAGTCAAGCTATTCTCCAAAGCACCTGAAGGCAGGACAAGAAGCAACGGGTGGAAACTAATTAAGGAGAGAAGCAACCTAGAACTAAGGAGAAACTTCCTGACAGTTAGAACAATGAACCAGTGGAACAACCTGATTCCAGAAGCTGTGAATGCTCCAACACTGGAAGTTTTTAAGAAGAGACTGGACAGCCATTTGTCTGAAATGGTATAGGGTTTCCTGCCTGAGCATGGGGTTGGAACTAGATGACCTCCACGGTCCCTTCCAACATCATCATCATCATCATCATCATCATCATCATTATTATATGTCATCCATGGTTGTTTCATTATCTCAGTGGTGGGATTCAAATATGTGAACAACCGGTTCTCTGTGTGGATGCCTCTTCTGGAAGTCCATTCTGGGCCTGAGCAACAAAAAATTAGCTACCGGTTCTGCCGCACTGGTGCAAATTGGTTGAATCCCACCACTGCATTATCCTCTCTTTTCTAAAATAGGCTTCTTGTGGTGACATTCCTTGGGCAATTTAGGAAACAATCTTGTTTTTTAAACTCTATGTATATAGAATAGAAGAAGAGGACGACAGAGAATGAGGTGGCCGGATGGAGTCACTGAAGCAGTAGGCGTGAGCTTAAATGGACTCCAGAAGATGGTAGAGGACATGGGGTCGCAATGGGTCGGACACGATTTTGCAACAACAACAACAACAACGTATGTCAGGTCTAACAAGAGGATTCTTAAACACCACATTCACTTCTCATTTCTCATACAATACGTCACCGTGGAAACCAAATGTTTTGATATGATGGTATCTTTAAGTCTTCCTTTGCATCTTGTGTGCAGTAACACTTTCAACTGCAAAAGTCAGAGACATATTTTATATAAGATCTTTTTTTTTCCGAGAAAGTTTGCAGATTGGTTCTGCTCAATTCCTCTTTCTCACTATAAATGTATCCAGTGCAGGCCAACAGGATTCATTGAGAAACATGTCATCCTTTGACTCGGTATGTCTAGGTATGTCAGTAGTAAAGATAGAGTTTCTGTTGTGATAGTTATTATTTGCCAAGTATTCTTTTTTGTCAAACTCAATTTAACAACATTTTTTCCCCTCAGGATGGTGTGACACCATCTCTCATCTCCAATACATTTATATATATATATATATATATATATATATGTTTTTATTCATAATGCAATTAAAACAACAATGGACAAACATGACATTCCAGAATGAATTTTCCTATCAGTTCCTATCATGGTACAAAAGTTTAATACATCGTTCTTAACCTCTATATAAGCCTCATCTTCTATACAATACAATTATATATACAATTATATGTACAGTTATATATATCTTTTAATTCTACCATTAATTTGAAGTCCGAGCAGTTCTCTTTAATTCATACCAACGGTAAAATTTGCCGTAGATTTCGAACTATTCGTGTTCTGTCTTAATCATTGTAAGCCTGTCCATCTCAGCACATGATAAAATTTTATGCAGGATCTCTTCTTCCGTTGGAGTTCCCCTATTCCTCCAATTTTGAGCAAAAACCAGTCTGGAAGCCGTTAAAATGTGTAGCATTAAATAAAGTACGCCTTTGTCATGCTTTTGCGTAGTTAAACCTATTAGAAAGAGTTCTAGTTTTGGTTCTACCACTTGCTCTAATATTTCTTCCAACCATACTTTAATCCTGTTCCAAAAATCACAAGCTCGCGTGCATTTCCACCACATATGATAGTAAGTTCCACTTGTCAAATTACATTTCCAACATTTAGGGGAAACATTGGTACACATTTTAGCCAATCTTTTGGGTGGGAGATGCCATCTATAAAACATTTTGTAAAGGTTCTCTTTGTAAGAGGTGGCCAAAGTAAGCTTCTTGTTTCTTGCCCATAGTTCTTGCCAGGTGTGCAGATCAAAATTAAGACCAAAGTCCTTGCTCCAATTCAACATAGTCACTTTTACTTGTTCCTCGTACATTGCCTGATCTAACAAATAGTAGTATAATTTTTTAATCATTTTATCCTCCGACCCCAATATTATTTTTTAAAGATTTTATCTCAATTTTTGGATTCCTTGTTTTATGGTTACTGTATCGTATTGCTGGTCTTTTGATTGGAAAAGGGGGTGGGAAGAATCTCAGAAGGGACCCACGTTAGTTTTCTGGAAAATTAAAATAAGCAAGAGTGAAGGGCTTTCATACTTGCCAGATTCTATTCTTGCAACTCCACAATAAAGGTAGCATGTGGGACTACTTCACTAATATTAATCTCGCCGATCAATGACAAGAAATCAATATTTGCAGAACAATAGAAAATTAGCAAAAATAGGTCAAACCCCTTAAATATAAAGAGCTAAAGCTTCCAGAAGCCCCCAGATTCTATTCTCCTCCTATTGTTTCTAATATTTTCCCTTAATTTTTAAAATTCCTTTTTAATAGTTATTGTATTTGATATTTAGTCTTTTGATTGTGTTTGGGCTTGGACTTTAAACATATTTCGTTATCCTGATGGACTGGTTTCAGTCTGTTATTACTTGTCACTTCTTTCAAGTTATGATTAAGTTCCTAAATATTTGCTTCAAACAAAATTTGTAGAAATGTTTTCTCGTTTTTGGTTTATAGCAAGTTCCTCTTTTCTTTAAGATGGAAATCTGTTCCTTTGGTTGGACAAATTCTCCTTTTCTCTACAGTTAAATCTCTATGAACCGAACTGAATTCGTCAAAAAAATCTATCTTTATGAATTTCTTTGGATTCTCAAGGAGACCTCTTGACTGTAACTCTTGCCCATCCATATAACTGTTATATGAAAATAACTCTTTCCAAG